CAATCAAAAGTTCTATCCATTTCTGATATAAAAATCTAACTTTACTCAGAAGAACATCCTTTATTACCAATTCTTTAGAGGGTCAGAAAGTGATAGTAAAGACAGCCAACTCAAACTCTCATATACCCCAGACATATAACCTGCCACTTGGAAAAGCCCACATACAGCTTCCATCACTACTTTGCTCAGGCACCTCAAAGTTCCTTAGTGATGGTGTCTCTCTGGGAGGAACAGGGAGGGAAATGGATTATTTTCTAAGGCACTACAGATTGGTAGCTTATTTTACTTTAAATTTAAAGTAAAGACCTTAAACCCCTCAACCTGGATGTTAAGTCCTGTATAATCTGAATCTCCTGGGCTAGCAAAACCTTCTCTCTTCCTGCTCTCAATTCCCATTCTAACCAAGGCTATGATATTTTACCGTTGTTTTTGGTTTTGTTTTGTTTTTGGTTCCTAAACACCATTCTCAAATTTGGGCTTTTGCTCATGCTGTTCCATGCCAAAAACATTCTTTCTCTTCTTTACCAATTCAAACCCTTCCCATCTTCTAAAGCTTTAAATTCTACTCCATCAAGAAATCCTTCCTATTTTTCCAGTCTACAAGGATCTACTTCCTAAATTTATTAGTATCTATACAATCAAATACATACTGACTTGTAACATTATCCAATTGTTCCTGTTAAACATTTTTATCTTCCCAACAAGACTAGACCCCTCAAAAGATCAGAGGTTATGTCTCCACATTTCTACTGGTTGGCTTCACAAATATCTCTAACTTATTTTGTTCAAAACAGGTTGTCCTCCTTCAGATTTGTCCCCCTATCAAAGGATTCTTCATTTATTAAATGGTGCCACCAAAATGAAATCCAAATCTTGATCCCCATGCTCTCCCATTCAATCAATTTCCATTTCTCCTTGGTTCTATCTCCAAAACATCTCTTGAATATCAACCTCTTTCCTACTCCACTACTACCACTTTAGTCTAAGTTACTTTCATCCTAAGACTGATTTTACTCTTTCCTCCTTCCTCTCATTACATTTCACATATAGCAACCAAGAGATCTAACATCTACATCAGATCAAGTCAGTCCTCTTCTGAAAATCCTTCAAGGACTCCCCACACTCTTAGAATGAAAACTGAACTCCTTATAATGGCCTCCCATTAATATGCAACTCCAGCCACACTGGCCTCCTTTCAATCATTTCAATGTCAAGTTCTGCTGTCTTAGGGACTTTGCACATGCTGTTTTCTCTTTCTGTAATGCCCTTCAAATTACTATTTCCTTCTCAACCTTCAGATCTCAGCTTCAATGTTGTTTGTTCAAAAAGGACTTTCCCAACACCATTTTTAGAGAAGATTTTCATATGTCTTTTATATTCTTCTGTGCTTGGTAAATAACTGGTGCATAACATTCTTTCCAATTTGATTTTTTCATTGAGACTGCTTCTTAACTTTTTGCTGTTTTGCAGTACCTCTTTTGGTGATTCAACTGCAAACCTCACACCTGGGCTTAGGTCAAGTCCCTCCTATTAGGTCTCTCTCCTAACACACCCTATTTATAGTGCCCTTATCACAATTTGTAATTATTAATTTGTGATTATTTGTTTAATGCTTTCTCTATAGACCATAAGCACAAAAAGGGCTATATCAGGACCTTAGTCCATAAAGGAATTATCATATATTTGCAATGACCTCCTCCTCCACCCCATCCCCCAAAGCTTATCCTCTCAGTTCAGTACTATGTAGCACTGTCTTCAAGATATTATACTGTATCGAAATATAAGGCAATCTCCTATTTTCCAGAAGAAAATTTCATAAACAAATGTGTTCAGCTAACTTAAGTATGTAACTTTTTTGAATAAAGACCAAATCATCAAATGTCTATTGATTTATTTAGTAACACATATATACTGTAAAAATCACAAAATATATTTAGAAATTTTTTTCTATTTTCATTGGACAACTTTACTAAAACTGTTCACATCTATCTTTGATATCAACAAAGCCATTTTTTTTTGTCATCTAACACAATTTTCCTGAATACAACACCTTCAATTCTAAGTTATTTGGAATACAGTACCCTTTGAATCCATATTAGAATGCTGTAACCATATAGGTGCCTGGGTGGCATAGTGGGTTAGGCGTTTGAAGTTTGGTTTCAGGTCAGGTTGTGATCTAAGGGTCATGGGATCAAGCCCTGTGTTGGCCCCATGTCAGGCTCCAAGCTCTGCATGGAGTATACTTGGGATTCTCTCTCCCTCTGCCCTCTCAAATAAATAAATCTTAAAAAAAAAAAAAATGCTATCCCTGTACATCTTATTCCAAGCCAAAAGTATTCCTTCACTATCTAAATGATCTGTAAAACAGTACTATGTGTATAGTATCCACTTACTATACTGCTTATTAAGGCGATTTTTACAAGCCTTGTTTATAACTTCATCCAACACTTCTGTGAAGTTCTATCCCCAGGAATAATTGATAAATCCATTAAAATGTCTTCACTTTTTAAAAAATCATTTTCATCACTACATCAAAAATGAATGATGTGGGGCGCCTGGGTGGCTCAGTCGTTAAGAGGCTGCCTTCGGCTCAGGTCATGATCCCAGGCTTCTGGGATCAAGCCCCACATCGGGCTCCCTGCTCCGCGGGAAGCCTGCTTCTCCCTCTCTCACTCCCCCTGCTTGTGTTCCTGCTCTCTCTCTCTTGTCAAATAAATAAATAAAATCTTTAAAAAAAAAAACTAATGATGTACTGTATGGTGACTCGCATAAAATAAATAAAATCAATTTCATCAGGTGAATTTTATAAATATCCAAATTAACACTGATTGAAGTCATTTAGGCTAGTGTGTCTTCCCCAGTTATATTAAAAATGGACAGAATTTCTGCCTCATAATAGGAGAGATGTTTGTAAAGACTCATATATGAAGTAATGCTTTTCTATGAGAGACAATTTGGAGGAGGAGTTAAGGTTTAGGCTTAGGTGGTTTATCAGACTGGCTATTCCATGGAAAATCCTTTAGTGCATTACTGCTAAGAGTAAGGAAAAAAGAGTAAACCTGATGGGTATCATCTAGGAGTAGGCTACACATTTCTTTTCTTCTCCATGTTTTTATACAAATTGAAATTGTTATTAAATAGTGGTTAAAGGCTAACAATGAAACTAGTTTATCATTTGAGAAGACTTCTGGGGCCAAAGAAAGCAAATGTATCATTAGTTAAGACAAAATTACAAGAATATGAAACAAATTAAACAACTTGAGTGATCTGCTTATCCATTTAAGAAGGTACAGATAACTTTTAATTTCACATCAGGCCTCAAAAAAATAATCTTAAAAGGGACTCTTTACCAGGAAGAGGAATTTGTATGGCAAGAAATAAAAGCTTTGGAAGCATTGATACAACTTACAGACAGGTAAATTTCCTAAGACAGAATCCTACCTTACATTAGTTCAAATATTAATAGCTGTTATATGTAAAGAGCTGTATGTAAAGAAGAAGCCAACTGGGAGAAATTTCTATCTCATCCTGCGAAGAAAAATTAAGGAAATATGGACGTGGCGATGCATTAAAATATTTATCATTTGACATCACAGGCCTATTAAGGTTAATGTGAAGTAATTTCTAAAATCGATTTGCTTTGTAACTTCAAAATAAAGCAAGCCCATAACTCAATGACAGCAGTTGGTAGAGGTCAACTCTTCTATTCAAGGCAAAGACCCTACGGTGAGTCTCCCAGACCTGGTCCATCAGCAAGGGACAAAAGATTCAGTTTCTTGAGATGGCAGGGGGAAAATGACTTGGCACTGCATCACACTTCAAATCCAATAGGGTTTCTCCCATGCCAACAGAGCACTGTGCGTCAAAGCATACCCTGGTGTCGTAAGGACAGTGAAATGGATGTAAAAACCCTGTCTTTCATTTCCTGAACGCCTTATCAACATGCACAATAAAACACTCCTGATCCCCATCACAGGTCACGGGGAAAACCCCCAGATTTGCCGTTGTTACCCCCTCCCCTCGTAGAGGTGTTTGCCCCTCAGCACTGGGCCTTGGAGTTTTCTCTTCCCAGATCATTGTCGGGGGGGGGGGAGGGGTGGGTGGAATTCACTGAGTGAGGAAAGCAACGTGGGCTAGGAAGTCTGTTACCAAAACAGAAATCGGGATTAAAAATACCGATCCTATCGTCCCTCCACCTTCTCCTCCCAGAGCACAAAAACAAAACCAAACACCCCCCGCCAACTTGCCCCACCATTACGAAGGTAGCCCAAGCTCTGATCAGAGGTGCCTCCCAATCATCCTCCGGGCGAGAGAGCACCTGGGGCGAGTTTTCGGTCCCCCCTCCCCCCCCCCCGCCCCTCGTCTCTCACCCCAGCCGGGGCCAGGCCCCTGGACTGACAGGAGGGGCCGGCCGGACGCTGGCATTATCGCCGAACCGCGCTCACACGGGTGGAAGCAACGCAGGACCTGAGATAACACGAATCGGGCTGCGGGCAAGGCCTCCCAGCCGACGAGACGACAGGCAGGACCCGGCAGCAGGGGAGGCGGGAGAAGCAGCCGGGCCTAGGCCGCACCAGGCCGCGGAGTGGCCGTACGCGGCTTCCCGGCCGAGGCTGCGAGCCAAGCCTCAGCGCTGCGGGGTTATCATTACCTGGACGGGTTCCTGCAGCACCGTCATCCTTGAGGCTCAGGCCCACTTTCTGCAGTGCCTCAGGCCCCCCCCGTAGCGGCTCCGGCCCGGCCAGCCCCGGCTCATTTAAACTCACCAGCGACCGTTACCGGGAGATGGGGGAGGCCGAGCGATTACCGAGTACCTCCGAGCGGTACACGGAAATACCCGAAGTGGAGAGATCCGCGCGGGAGCCAGACGGAAAAGCCCGAAGGAGGCCGGAAACTCCCGAGGCCGATCGGCGAAGGAGGAGACCGTTGCCGAAAATTGTCGAGGATTCCCGGAGACTACCGAATCCGATCCAGAACGTAGTTTTCTCCCTTCGGCCACGCCTTCACTCCCGCACGCCACGCCCAATCGGCCACCCTAGGCTGGGCCACGCCCAATCGGCGACGGGCCGGCTGGGCGTGGCTTGCCGAAGCGGGCGGGGAGCGTTACGTGGCCGGACTACAGTCTCCGCTCGCCACTCAACCTCTGCGGATCAGCTGATGAGCGGTAGATTAAGCAGAGGGTAAAACACGAGAGTTTGGGGCTGACTTTAATCAAGAAGTATTTGTCTGTTGAGTTTAGTTCATTCATCATTCCGGAAGTACCTATAATGGCTCAAAGGGAAATAGGAAATTTTGGAAGGACTGCCACCCTTCAAAGATTTAGTATGGACCAGAGCCGTCCACACTGAAGAGTTTACGACCTCTTTAAAGGAAAAACAATGTAACAGTGCTATGTTATGTGGTGCCTACTATAAGTGACGTCAAAATTAAGAGGAGAGGGAAATAAATTGGGATTAAGATGAGGAAAGTTTCATGGAAGGAAAAAGGCAGACTTAAACTGGACTCTGAATGATGGGTAGAATTAGAAGAGAAGACGGGCAGGTGAAGGGAAGCAGAAATGAGATCAGTCTGGTAAGAGTTAAGGCATTAACTGGAAATAATTACTTAGGTGACCAGATCATGGAAAATCTCAGAAGGCTGGCAGAAATTGTTATTCCTGATAGGAAAGGCACTGTGGTGTGTTGGGAAATGCGGAGGCTTGATTTTGAATTTTACCTCTGGCACTAACTAGTTTTAGGTCCTTAGGCAAATCACATCTCTGAACTTCTATTTCCTTAGTCTGAAAAAGATGACTAAAGGAATTAAATGAATTGATGTTTCTAATAGGTTCTCTCAAATTTCCTTCCTATTCCCTCTCCCCCCAAAATGTGTGAACCAGTGAACTATTAAAATTTTGTTTTTTGGTAGATGATGAAAACAGTTTTTGAAAGTTAATTGTCTAATCTAAGGCCTAGGTCTGTAAGTCAAACCCCATCCCTTCTCATTGATTAAAGCGAGACCCAGGGCCCGCCTGGATTCAAGGGGAGGAGAAATAGACTCCACCTCTAGATGGGAGGAGTAGCAAAGTGACACTGCAAAAGCTTGTGCCCTGGAGGGATTGATTGCTGGACCGTCTTTGGAAACAATCTACCAGATATGAGATGAGAATCTAGTAGTGGTAATGGAAAGAAAGAGGTGGGTAAGAGATAATCACCCTTAAAATTTGATGCTTTGAACTGAACGCAACACTCCATGTTTATTCTAATTAATGCAAAGAATGATGAGACTTGCTTTTATTATCTGGATGACTTCTATTAGACTAAAGTTGTATTTACATTTTAAACTGTCACATGACATTGTTCATGCTAAGCCTGTGGTCATTTTACACACACAGCTCTTTTTTTTTTTTTTACACACACTCTTTTTCACTCAACATGCTGCCAACCCAAGTCTTGTACTTGTGCAATAGATTCTTGTAAACTTGAATGTAGGAACTTACAACACAGCATATAATGATGATATTTTTTGTGTGTGAAAATGTGTATCTAGAGTCAGCATTTAAAGAGACCATGATGCTTGGCGTTCTGGCTCTGAAGCTTAGAATTTGCTTAACGCACACCCTTCCCCCCCCCCCCCCCCCCGCCCCAAAACGCATCTCTTTTCTAACTGTTCTTCACTGGGCTAATACATCTGTTGTGATTTTCTGCTCATCCACATTGTTTGAAGTTAGGCTTTGGTGGGATCTTTTAAAGCATTTTTGCTTCCTTCTGTGTTCCTGATTGACCTACTTAAACTTGCCATCCAGCAACCACTGGAGCATCCTGCTGTCATCCATTATCCAAATATGTTTAGCTGGTGAGCAGATCTGGGTTGCAATAAGCATTATTCCAAACATGGTAAATTATCTCTTCTCTTTAGCCTGCCTCTTGGTTTGTTTCGTGTTCAATCCGATTCGAAGGTTGGCTTTTAGCGAACTATTCAAGAAGCTAGACTTGGTATCATTGCCAAGATGCAGGTCCCACTCAAACATAGCCCCCAGCAAGCTTACTCTTCTGAATTCCTTCAGCCCCCCTTATCTGTACCCTTCTTTTGTCCCTGTTGAGGCTGCTGTCTTATCCTTCTTCTATTACCTGAACTTGAGGCTTTTACCCCTGTGTTTCCTCCTCCCTCTTGGCCAAATCATCCCCTTCCTTTGGCGTCTCTGATCACACAGTCTCCTGGTTTTCCTCCTACTGCTCTGTTTTCATCAGTTTCCTTTGCCCCCCACCCCCTAATACTAGAATGCTTCAGGGGCCGTTTTAGGCCTTCTCCTCACCCTATGCTTCCTTCCTTTGCAAACCCATCCATTCTCTTGGCCTCCACTTTCATCTAAAATTGTTCCAGGGGCACCTGGGTGGCTCAGTCAATTAAGCCTCTTGATTTCAGCTCAGGTCATGATCCCAGGGTTGTGAGATTGAGCCCCAAGTCAGGCTCCGAACTGGACTTGAAGCCTGCTTAAGATTCTCTCTCTCCTTCGCCCTCTGCCCCTCCCCGACCTCCCTCTCTCAAGGGGAAAAAAAAAGTAAAATTGTTCCAAAATCTCTACCTCTAGCCAGACTGCTTCCTAGAACTTCAGACCTGAATGCCAGCTGTCAACTGGACATCTCACAGGTGCTTGTTCAGAACGACATCCCCGGTCCTCGTACTTGAAGTATTTCCTACCCCAACTTAAGGTACTGCCACCCTCTCCATTGCCCAAACCTGGAGCGCTCTCTCTTTGACAAAAAGAGACAAAAGCCCTACTAATTTTACCCTGGATGTACCTTCATGTCTCTTCCTGTCTCTAGCCTTACCTATCCTCAGAACCAAGTCTGATCATGTCAAGACTCCCTCCTAAACCTTCCCAGCCAACTCGAGATTTCCCACTGTGCTCAGGACATCGCTCAAACCTGTTCACTTCTCTCTTTTTTTTTTATTTGAGAGAGCGCATGAGTGAGCACACAAGTGGGGAGGGGCAGAGGGAGAAGGAGACAAAGAGTCTTAAGCAGGCTACATGCCCAGTGCAGAGCCCCACCAACACCAGGCTTAATTCCCCCCGACCCTGAGAGCATGACCAGAGCCAAAATCAAGAGTCAGACACTTAACCAACTGAGCCACCCAGGCGCCCCTAAATTCTCTTATAAGGCCCTCCAAGGTCTTGTCTCTGCCTCCCTATTCAGCCTTGTCTCATCTCCCTGTTATCCTCTACATTCCCACGAAGGGGACCAGAATATGTCACTTTGGCATAAGGATTATTTTGACCTGAAAGCAATTAGGAAGCAGCAAACACAGAAAGAGCTCTTTACTTTCTCACTATCTGCCTAAAAGCAGGACATAAATTTCCCTTTGTGAAGGTGCTTCCTCTCCCCTCTCCTGTACCAGGAGGAGGAAAACAACCATTATCACTTAGAGACAAAGAGTTGGCACTGATTTGGGTCTGTACAAACAAACCTTACTGAAATAACCCTTATCTTCCATTAGTTTTCCCATATATTTACCTTTCCACAACTTACCACCCCAGAGGCCCAAACCTTTTCCGCTCTATTTTGTCACTTCTCCACAAATTTATCGCTGTTTGCTAAGATGGTATATATGCCCCAAGTCCTAACCACCTCTTGTTCTTTAAATTTTGTTAATCTGTCTTTTGTCAGTTTAATTTGCAGGGCCTATTCTACAAACCTGAGAGAGTAGAGAGAAGGTCACATGAGACATATAGCAAGAAAGTGGTCATCTACAAGCCAGGAAGAAAGCTCTCACCAGAAACCAAAGTTGCTAGCACCTTGATCATGGACTTCTAGCCTCCAGAACTGTGAGAAAACACATTTCTGTTGTTTAATCCACCCAGTCTGCAGTATTTTGTTCTAGCATCCTGAGCGGACCAGTATAATCAGGATGATTTATGTCTTATCTCCCTAAGGGAAGCCTGTCTTATATTTCTCCATATTGTTCTTTGAAAAGCATTACGTATTTAGTATATGCTTAAAAAATATTGATTGATTAAAGTGGAAGCCTTTACACTTATTACTTCTTCTTCCTGAAATACTTTGCCCTTACTCTTTAGCTAAATTCAACTCATCCTTTTTTTTTTTAAAGATTTTATTTATTTATTTGAGAGAGAGAGAATGAGAGATAGAGAGCACGAGAGGGAAGAGGGTCAGAGGGAGAAGCAGACTCCCCGCTGAGCAGGGAGCCCAATGTGGGACTCGATCCCGGGACTCCAGGATCATGACCTGAGCCGAAGGCAGTCGCTTAACCAACTGAGCCACCCAGGCGCCCTTCAACTCATCCTTTAGGCCTCAGCCTTGATATTATGTCCTCAGAATATTCCCTGTCCACCTAACCAAAATTATTAGCTACACCGTGATTCTCTCTTACAGAATCTTTGTTCTTTTCCCTCATAGTATGTATGGTCATTTTAATTATATTTGTTTAATATAAATTCCATGAAGGCAGGGACTTTGGCTCACCCTGATGTCCCCATTATCTAGTAGAGTGCCCTGCACAAATATAGTTATTGAAATATCATAAATGTATCTGATGATTAAAAGACATGACCACTCAGTGTTATTGCTTATAACTTGATGCTCTTTGACTCTCCCTTTCTGGACCCAGAGAACATGCTGGTTTTGTGCATAAGTCCCTAAGGGATTTCAAGTCAAAGCAGTCTGAAGTGTTGACGCTAATCAGAAATGCATCCTGGTTGAGGTGCACTCTGAGATGGGCTACATGGCCTGTGGCAGGGAGGGGTAGGCAGACTTCAAAAGCACAGGGAAGAAGATAAACTGTAAGCAAATTAGCTTGCCTGGAGTGAAGGCCGTATAAGCTTGGTTGAAATGGTAGTGTAGGGACAGTTGATAAGCTTTGGGTTCCAAACCGATGACTTTAGGTTGATAAAATAGACCTGGGGAGCTGCTGGTGGTGATTGAGCTAGGGAGTGACTTCATGAGAATGGAATTTGAGAAAGATTATGCTAACAGCTGAGGATTATGTGAATTGGAGGGGAGCAAGAGTAGGGGTCAGGAGTGCAGCAGAAGAGGCTGCTAGGGAGTTGAGGCAACTCTTAAATTTCCATTATTCTTGGGTCGTAGGTGGTTGGGATATGGGATTGTTGAGCCCAGTGGGCAAGAAAGAATTCTTGAGACGATTTACGCTGCAAAAGGTGTTTTTATTATAGCACAGGGACGGGACCCATGGGCAGAACAAGCTGCATTGTGATTGTGAGGAGTGACTGATCATATAGGGTTTTCTATCCTTTGGAGGTGAAGGTGATGCTAGGGCTCCAGGAAATTGAGTTTATAGGTTCCTAGAGGTCTGACTATTATTAAGATTGTATTCTTCTTATAAATCATGAAGACAGTTACAAACTATAATGAAGTTTCGTGTTCTACACGACTGCGATATTTATCAGTTGACCATTTGTTTTTCCCCTGCCTTTGTTCTTAGGCAGTTCCTAGTGCCTGAGGAATGTTATATGTATATCCCACCTTATGGGGCCTTCCTGGGAGGAGGGGGGATTTCAGGGTGTCAGCTCGTGTTTTGCCCTCAGCTTGCTCTCTCGTCAACTGAATCTGAAAAAAGACGCAAAATGAAAATAGTTCCAAGTTACTCATTTACAGTGAAAAATATTCTTCTCCAATTCCTTCTCTTTAGGACATTCAGATTCCAACTAGAAGGCTGCTTACTGAGTGCAGACTGACCAAAAGAGTGAATCGAATGATCTGGCTGGCTATTACCTCCTTTTCCTCAGAATGGACATATATGCCTGACTGCTAGATTAAAAATATTTCTATTATCTGGAGAGGACTGAATGGTAGATTCTCTGTTTCTCTGTTTCTCTCTGTTTCTCTCCTTTTTAGATTCTAGGCAAACTTTCATTTTTCTCTGAATAAATTGCATGGCAATGAATTAAACACAGACCTGATTATGTTCCAGTCTTGAGTCTACACTGTAGTTGTCTCGAATAGACCCTGTTGTTGCTATTAGTTTTGTGTGTCAAAATGTATGATTTGGGAGGTAGGTGATGAGCTAGGTTCAAAATATACTGAGTTTGAAGTGCCTCAGGTGAGAAATGTCCAAATGTTAATTGAAAACATGAAGCTTGAACAATTTAGGAAAAAAGTTGGAGCTGGAGATATTTCCAGGGGTGCCTGGGTGGCTCAGTTGGTTAAGTGTCTGCCTTTGGCTCAGGTTATGATCTCAGGGTCCTGGGATTGAGCCCTGTGTCCTGGGATCAAGCAAGCTCCGAGTCAGGCTCCCTGCTCAGCAGGAGGTCTGCTTCACCCTCTGTCCCTCCCCTTTGCTCGCGCTGTCTCTCTCAAATAAATAAATAAAATCTTAAAAAAAAAATAGAGATTTTCCAGGTAGAACTAAATGCATTCTATTTTGGTTAGTAATACCTTATAAAACCTCTGTGAGAGTATTTATCATTACATTAAAACTATTTATTTATCTGCATCCTCCACACCAGACAGGAAGCTTCTTGGGGGCAGGGATGGCCTCTTATTCGTTTTAGTAAAAGCATGTGCATACTACAGGTGTAATAAGTGTTAGTTGAATGGATGAACGGATGAATGAGAGTAATCAGGATAAAGGGGATACAGGACAGCCAGGTGAGTGACAGAACTCTGGTATGGTAAGTACAGCAGAGAAGGCCCAGAGACAAGAGCACTAGGTCGAGCCACAGAGAAGTCACTGGTGGGGTGCTAGGGAGGAAGTCAGAATTTGAGAAGTAAAAGAAGAAGTTGGTGGAAAGGGAAACAAAGAAGAGAATCATTTTTAGCACTAAAAGCATGTCCCCAAATGCTGAGAAAAAGTGCTTGCTAAGGTGTTGAGTCTCTTTTTCCTTCCTGAGAGCCACCCATGCTGTGGGTGACAGGGTCAGCTGTCACTGATGCTTTCTTGTTTTCTTGTCCTCTTGGGGGCCAAGGCTCTCCATGAGGGAATCCCATTGGCTCTACCAGCTCCCACTGTCACCTTAGTGTCCTGGGTTCTAGTCTCAGATCTGCCATGACTCATAGTGTGACCTTGGGCAAGTCACCCCCTTCTGTCTGTGCCTCTAAAGTCCCTTGCAGCTGACAGGATGTCTGGGGGAATGCAGTTTGGATGACTGGTGAGGGTTCTGGCTTGCTCTCCATTGCTTTTCAACTATAAATCACTTTGCCAGACACCAGCTGTCCTGCCCTCTGCTTTAGATTCTCGGGCGGGCTCCAACCCACCTGTTGTTGGGGCCCGCCCAATGTCTTCCTCCCACGGTTCAGCTCACAGATCCATCACTAGGCCACACTGCCTTGATCACAGCACAGGAATGAGCTTCAGCCATTTAGACAGACTGTTGAGTGATTGGGCCAAACGTGGAGCATTCTCCACTTATGCTAAACAGCTGAGGAAATGAAGGTGGATGGGATGATTTAAAGTGCTCAGAGGACCTGTGCTATCAATGGCCCTTAAAATTTTTATTTTAATTTGATTTTAGACCCTTCCATTCCTTCTCTGCCTTTACCTTTGGTGCTCTGGGTTTTCAGGGTCACTAAGACTTCAGGTTTTCATTGCTTTTTTCCTTCTTCTTTGGTCATAAGGAATCTTAGCTATAGGGGATTGGGTTAATCATTCTCCTTGAGTTATATAGCCTTCTTTCATCACTGATCCATACAGAGCTTTTTGTTTAATTAGTTATTTATTCCTTTTTATCTCGTTGCCCCATCCCATCCAAACAATACTCACCATAAGCAACCCTCAAATATTTTTAATGTGTATTTTTTGTTTGTATGTGTAATGCTTCTAGTATGCATGTACTTAATAAAATTTAATAATACATCCTATTCTCCCAGTATAGCCAAAATTTTATTTCAACATGTAAACAATATTAAAATTATTGACATATTACATTCTTTTTTTTTGTAGTAAGTCTTCAAAACCCATTGTGTGTTTTTTCTTACAGCATATCTCAATTTGGATGCTAAATTTTCATCACAAATACTTAATCTGTATTTAGATTTCATAATTTCAAGTTGAAAAAGTAGATTCACATACCTAAGTTTTCCAAGCATACTTGAAAATTTTCCAGTAACTGAATCAAGTACCAAAAAAATCATTTTCCTTTAATAGTTGCATCCAAATGGACAAAATTGCTTCCTCTATTTTAAAAGAATTATATCAGTATCAAAAGTATGTCCAAGTCAAGTAAATTCACTAACTGCTGTGTCAACTCAGTATTATTAACATGAAATTCAAGGAGATATTGCATAAATTGAAAAGCAACTCCAAATTTATTAATATCAACAAACATTTAAACTTTTCTTATCATTTTTGCAGCCAGTTTATATAATGCTGTTGATTAAAATCTGCATATTTTTGTTAGAGAAATGCATATTAATTTGCATTGTGGCAGGCTTCAGTTTTAGCATAAATTCTTTTTTTTTTTTGCATGACAAAGTCTTTACTTTCAAATGATTATCAGCACACCAAGTAAGAACATGTATACAAGTTCTTGAATTCTATCATCTGATAATTTTGGTTAAGAGAAACTAAGAGCAGCCTGAACAATATATACTAGTATTCACTGTTCCACCTGTAGCCGAAAGGACGACTTAAGGCCGGCTGCTGATTCACACAAGTTACAGTAACTATTTACTACTTTTTCATAGAGAAAGCCCCTGACCTTCAAGAAAGCTTTAGGGAAAAAAAAATATTTAATCCCTTTCTTTCTTTAAGCAGAGTTTTTTTTGTTTTGTTTTGTTTTGTTTTGTTTTACTACCTCTAAGAAAGAAAAAGTACTGATACATATGTTGCTTGAGCTAAAAGGCACAGGAA